CCCAGACTATCAAGCACTCCCACCATGTGCAGCTGGAATAGCCACGCATATGAGACATCCACATCACGTTTCTGCTCCCTCTGGAATTTGTTATCCTAGGGATGATTTCTGCTGTAGTTTCACTTCCTCGGGGCAGCCCTAATTCCATAAAACAAAGAGGGCAGCCCAAATCCCACAAACAAATGCAGGCAGCTGTTGGAAGAGCAGCCTGCTTCAGAGGCCTTGGCTTTTCCCCACTGAGGCTTCCATGTGACATCTGCCCCAGCCCATTATCACATCCAAAGGTCAGCTGAGCAAAGGGAGAGCTCAGATGAGCTTATTAACAGAGATTATTACCTACACAAAACAACCTGGCTTTCAAAGGCCATTTCACATATCCCTGGTGGGTGACAGAGCATTCCCAGTGCTCTTTCTCCAGAGAGAAGCAGCCACCAAGTCCGCCTGGTGTGGTCTCTGTGTGAACAATTCACGTCTGCAAAAATCCAGCAACTCCCCCTCAAAAAACAAACTCACATTTAGCATTTACCTTCATTTACGGACATCACCCTGTGTGGTCTCTTGCTGGGCTCTCATATTTTCAAATGATTTCTGAGATGTTTTCTAATTGCACCCCTATTTATTACAGCAATCAGGAAAATCTGATAGAGCTGGATACAAACTACCAGTGGCTTCAGGATTGAATAACAAATTATTTAAGGCTGAACGTTGGGAAAAGTAAAACTCTCCAGCAGGAAGAGAAAAAGTTCTTCTGTATTAGAGGCCAAATAATGCCACCTAAAATCTCAGTTTTTCTGAACAGCAAATGTCCTAGCTCACACAAACTGAACAGGTATCGATGATCAGTTATTGCTTCCACACAGCCCTCACCAGGGATGAGAAGGGTTTTAATTATTTACACAGCTTAAAAGAAATGACTGCAACCTCTGCTTTTTATAGCCCTGAGGAGTTTTTTCCAGCTTTTTGCACATCCCACGGGATTTCTCTCCAGTCTGACACCACGGATAGCCAAGGCAAAAGCTGCTTCCCAGATGCTTCCTAATTCAGGGAACAAGGGACACAGAGGGAGATGGAGCCTTCAGCACAGCTCCCTGACACCGTAAAGCCAGCAAATAGTGTCTATTGCAGGAAAAATGACATTCCGTGCCTTGGTGGATTATTTCAGCCAAGGTTTTCTAGCCCAGCACCAAGTCAGACCTCACTAAATCATCCTCTTTAAATGGCAGTTCCCATTTTTGAACCCTAACTCTGCCTCTTTCCCTCCTGGCAGGGGTTAAAATTTTTTCTTGGCTTATCTCAGCCTTATTTCTAAACAAAATAAAACCATCCTTCCCTAATGCCCAGAGTTGTTTTAGCCAAATAACCCCAGGGCTGGCTGGATGTCCAGAGCCCTGCAGAGGCAGCACCTGCAGGCAAAGCTTTCCCAAGCTTTTCCATCACAGCAAAACAGGAGTTTCCATGAAGATAAACTGGTTTCTGATCCTTTTTAGGGAGCTGAAAGGCCAATCCAGCCTCAGTATGTTTGTGAAGATGTTACCTCATCCTCTGTGGATCAAGACTGTGACCATCACTTTGACCCACAGATATAAAAGTTGCATTTCTCATTTCTGGATCCATGGGTGGTGAGATCTTTCCTCTTTTTCCTCTTACCCTTAATTTATTTTCCTTTCTTTTCCTTAGATTTCTTTGTACTTTTATATTGCTTAATTTCCAAAGGTGTATAAAATGGAAAAATATTCATAACCACTCTCTGCAGCAAAATTAAGTCAATTAACTCCTGGGATGCTTTATTATGAATAAATAGTGTGAGAGAAGGGGTGTAAGGTGAAAAAGGGGATTAGAAAGGGGGACTAAAACAAAAGGTGTTGATAGAATCATTCAGGTTAGAAGCAACCTACACTGAGATAATCCTGATTATTTGAGTGTTTCCTTCATGTCCTAAATGCCAGTGTAGCTGGGCCTGGCACTGGGACACGAGTGCTGACCTTCTGGACTCCCATTTCCTCAGACAGTGAAGCAAATTTGCCTCTCTCCTTCCCCTTTTAGGAGGCAACTATAATATTCATTAGTTAATTAAATCATTAAGTCATTTGAATACATTTGAGAAGTAGAATATTATAATTCATATTATAGTCTGCATAATCCTATAATTAAGATTATAGCCTACAATTAAAATCTTGGTCTCACAGATGACATGCCTGCAGTTGCTGATTTAAGTAGAGGGAACACAAAGAATGGATGTTAAATGGAACTGCCAACCCCAAGCTGACAAAAAGCAGGAAACTGCCTCTAAAATAAAAATAAACTCAATAAATAGTTCAGCTCCTCCAGGCCTGGAGGACAGATGGATACACAGAAAGATATTCCAAGCCTGTAACTTCTGCCTAACATCCTGTCAGCCATGCCCTGAGCTCTGTGACTCCAGGGATGTGCTCCAGCATGGAAATGGGAAAAAATCCCAGTGCCACTAATTCTGTAGGCATTTACAGTCCAGTCCTGTACATTCACAGCTCCAGAATGGGTTGGGTTGGAAGGGACCTCACAGCCCATCCCGTTCCAAACCCTTCCACCTCCCACTAGAGCAGTTCTGCCCAAGCTGGCCTTGGTTATCCTTGGTGATCCACGGGATGCATCCCAAGGCCTTTTCCCAGCTGGCAGTGAGCTCTGAAAAGGAGATGTGAGCTAAAAAAAGAGGAGCGAAAACATTCCATGGGATTTGCGTAAAGCCTCACAAACCTACCCACGTTTTATGTTCTGAGTTCTTCCCTATCACAAACCTCCCCTTGGAAAAAATAAGCCCTTGAAGGACAATTAGCTGGAGCTAATTAACTGCTGCTTGAAAAGGAATCCAGGTTAAACTTGCTGCCAAGGAGACTTTTCTCCCAAGGAGTTTTGCCTTGTGAGGTAACTCTGGAACACCAAAACTTTCTGGAAGGGCTCACAATTCTTCTGGGGTCTCTCTCCAAGGAACTTGACAATTTTTCCCTCCTCTATCCATCTTTCTGCTGGTTTTCAAGGAGCCCAGCAAACAGGAATGTGGAATTTGACTGCTAAATACTCTGTTTTTCAATAGGGCATTCCTTTTTCTTTGGATGTTTTTCCAAGCAGACAACACTGATCCCTCCTGCTCTGAGGGAAAATGTCAAGATGTGACAATAACGTCACTGTCACCTCTGCTCTGCAGTGACAGGCCTCCAGCATGGGCTTCTGACTTTGAAGATAAAAAAGTTGCTATCAAAATTAATCGGTTCAGATTTTTTGGGAACAATTCCTCCATCAGCAGGGCCTTGCCCTTCCATTAGGATGAAACACTTGGCATTAGAAGTAAAGCATTGGAGAAGATAAAAGCTCTTTAAATGTGAAGGTCAAAGCCCAGTGGCTCCCAAAAGGAAGAGTTTCTTCCAAAGTGGTCCCAAACCACAGCTTCCCACATACTGTACAGCAGATCCTAAAATTCCCCAAACTATCCTCAAAAACTCCTCAATCTGCATCCCCAATGTTCCTGGGGTAATAAATACTCAAGAATAGAACTTAAAATTATAGATGTGGGAAGGGCACATTTTTCTTGGTGCTGATGGGTTGTGGTGGCACCTCCAAAAACCTTCTGTGACCTTGATGTCGTTTATGACCCCACCCAAAATTCCCCAATTTTATTCCCAGTGTTTTCTTCCCTTCTGCTCTGATGGAAATCAATATAACCCAAATAGTAACACTCAAAAATTAACATAAAATAATAACTGAATGACCCTGGGATACTTTGAATCATCTGTCTGAAACATTCCATCCCCCAAATCCCCTTTTTTGGGGATGGTAAAGGAAGTTGATGGTCTCCCACCTTTTTCATTGGGTCAACAAGAATTGAAGGAATTTAACCTTTTTAATGGAACATCTTTATAAGAAGGAAGCTTACTTTTGTTCTGAGGCAGGGAAATATTATTCCAATCTGAAATGCAACCCTTTGAATACCTTAAAATGAATTAAATCTAATATTTCAAATATCACTCAAAGATAAGAAAAGAGAAATCAGTGGGTATGTTGCAAGACTAACAAGTTTTCCTTGTGAACTGAAGATTTTTGAGATGGATCTTAATTTCTGAAACAAACCAAGAGTTATTTTTTATCAATACTTAATTGGGAATTCTCACTTCCCCTCCACAGAGGTGCCCAATACCTTCAGCAGACACCATTCCAACCCCTCTGGTTTAATGAGAAGTTTCTATGTATAACTTAATTGGAATCTGTAATTTAGGCAATCACTCGGAGCATTTGACTTCGAGAAAACACTTCTCCCCCTCCTTAATGTGCTATGAAAAAAATACCCATAAAAGCAAAATAATTGAGAGGGGGGGAAAAGAAAAGAAATTTTGTATAGAGCAAATTTAATTTTCTTTTCAACAACTTCTGCCTTTGAATTGTGTTTGGTTGATATTGAGCACCTCCTGAAGCAGAACAGGAACCTCTTGAAAAGCTTTAATCATTGGGATAGAATCAGAGCTCAAAGATTACAGACTAAAATCAAATTGCAGCTCAAGAATGAATAAAAAGTGGGTTTTAAAAAAATATTTTAATCTAATACTCTACAGTTCCCTTCTGAAAGGAATGAGTACTTATTGTGGGCTTCAGATGAATATATTGCTTCACATCAAGGCAGCTCCAGTTTTTAACAAATGACAAATTCCACTGCCCATCTTTTGTCTCAAAACATGTTTGACTTTGGAAAGTATCTGAGAAAGGTCAGAGTTCTCTAAAGAAATTAAATGTCTTCAACAATTCCCTCAGGTGCAATTCCAAGATCTGGAGTTTCTCACCTCACAATATTCCAATATTTCCGGAAGATCCACTGGATTCAAATATTGTGATTGAGCAGGACCTTGGGACAACCTGGCTCTGGGCACTGACCAGAGGAGACCTATCTCCACATTCATGGGGAGAACCAGGAAGGTTCACGAGGAGGAATATTCCTCCATTCAGAGGAGGAATCTCTCTTGATGCTGAGCACTTACTTTGCTTTTGCTTCTGCGTCCTCATAGGCTTTGTTGGAGACGTCATCCAGGCCCCCGATCAGGTGCTTGAAGGAACTGTAAAGACAAAGGGACACTTTGAGAGGAAAATCACTGAAACACCAAGCTTGGGAAATACCCTGATGATCCTCCAGTCCCACCAGCAGTACCAGGTCCACCACTTCAGGTGGTCCACTCTTCAGGTGAACCTGAAGAGATTCCAACTGGGAGCCAAGAAATCCAGTGTGGCTTTTTGGCAGCAATCGGGGCTCAATTGATGCCGGTGACCCACCAGGTCCAGGCCTCAGAAACGCTAGAGATGCAGAAACCAACACCAAGAAGATCCAAAATTATTTATCCAGCCCACTGAAATGGCTGCTGGAGGTTTTCACCCTCCAGTAGAAGCTTCAGCATAAATCTGCCAGTGTGAAGTGTGGTGGTACCTCAACCATCACATCCCTGTCCTCCAACCAGGAGCCCTGTAAATCCTTCTGCTTCCAAAGTGAAATTTTTGTTTCTGGATCCCAGATGTCTCATCTTTACAGAAAAAGCATCCAAAAACACATCAAAGGGGGTTCAAACTGAAGGAGAAGGAATTCAGGTTGGATATTGGGAAGGAATTGTTCCCTGGGAGGGTGGGCAGGCCCTGGCACAGGGTGCCCAGAGAAGCTGTGGCTGCCCCTGGATCCCTGGAAGTGTCCAAAGTCAGGCTGAATGGAGCTTGGAGGCACCTGGGATAGTGGGAGGTGTCCCTGCCCATGGCTGGGGTAGAACAGCATGATCCTCAATATCCCTTCCATCCCAAACCATTCTGGGATTCCATGAAAAACTAGAAATTAATAACTGAAATCAGTGTATGTCTTGAAACAAAAACATTCCAGATGAAAAGCTACTTTCTTCTATGCAATTCCAGAATTCCCAGTGGGTCTGTCACATGCATGTTCTCTTTTATTCAAGGAAGAAAAATTTGAAAAGATGAACTGCTGCAAACCAGAGTCTCTTGACTGATCTCTGCCTTAATGTAACAGCCTCACAAATGAAAATCCTGCAATTCTTCTGTGCTCCTGACACTCCTGAGGCATGAAACACAGAGCTGAAGAACAGGAATTGCTCAAAGTTGACAAAAAAAAGAATGGAAACATTGAAAAAAAGCAAGAAAAAACCCTAAAATCCCCACTGAGGGCCACATTTCTGACTTAAGGAATAAGAAGGGGATATTACATACGGCCCTTTCTCAAGGAGGAGTTGTAGGATCAAAGAGAATGAATGGCACTGAGCAGGGGAAGAAAATCCAGGGCAGCTGGGGCAATGCAATATCCTGGCAGGCACGGGACGAGCCAGGGAGACTCCATGATCCTGGAATGGGAGCAGTGGGACCCCGGGCGGCTCAGACACACTGACAGCCCTGAGCGGGTCCTTCAGGAGACGCCTGACCCTATGGAATGTACCCCATGGATGTGTGGAGAGTGGAGATAGCACCTACAGCAGAACCAAGGGAGACACAATTATCCTGTTGGAAAAAGCTGGATTTTCCCCATTGCTGTGGGGCAGGAGGTGACAACTGGGAGAGGTGGTTTGGATCTGGAGCTGCTGAAAGGGCTTTTCCAGAGGAATTCTCCTCCCTAGGGCTATTCCAGAGCTGTGTGCACACAATGCTGTGCCCTGTGCTCTGGGATGGCCCTGCTGGAGCAGGGAGCTGGCACCAGGTGCCCACTGTGGGCCCTTCCAAACTGAGCCATCCTGGGATTCTCTGCTGGGAATTACAGCTCAGGAAATGCCCTCTGCCCACACCAATTTCCCCAGTCTTCTGCTCCACTTAATTAATCAGATTTTAAATCATACAATCAAGGACATAATTTATGCAGCACAAAAAAAGCAAATTAATTAATTCATTAATGAGGAAGAGGAAGGCACAAACCTCTTTGCTCTCACATAAACGGGTGTTAGTGGTTTTTAACCAGTCTAGTAATTACTAATATTTTTAATATTAGGGTGTGTTAATAATGGAAGTAACTTTTCAACCCCAAATTCCTTGCTCAGCAGTGAAAACAGGAACAACTCAGCTCCTTCAACACCTCAAGTTTTATCTTCCTGCTGCTGGGAATGTGCCACAGGCTGAAGCCAAACCTTGCAAGGCGACAGTGAGAACAAAGCAGGATTGGGGTGTTAATGGCTAATTGCACCCAAACAGGTATTTAGGCAATTCATTAACACAGAAACACCATCCTGGAAGGCCCAAAGACATCACCTAGGGCCTAAACTGTGATTTAGGCTTGGTTTCCTTAGGAAACCATAGCAGGGTTAAACCCTCCCCCCCCCCCCCCTCCCTTTTT